TAAGCAGAGATAAATGTTCAGTTACTCTCAGGCCACTGTTCTAAAAGATAAAGTATTCATCCAGGTAGTAGTGAAGACGAGAATGGATGATTGTCCTCCTGTTCTTGTGAGAGAGACTTGTCTCTGATACATAAGCAGTGATGACTTGAGATTGGTGTGGAGGCTTATGTTTTAACAAGCCTTAATGAGAGAAGTCATGTCTGCCCTGCTCGTGAAATAATGATGTTGGGTGACATAATATATAATATAATATATATATAACCTTGTTTTTCCTTCCTGGCACACTGACATCTGAAAGTTATATATTTGTTTGTTTGTGGAGCTAGGGTTACAGCTGTCTGGGACTCATTGTTGAAAGAAGAAGAATTATCTGTTGATCTAAGGGATGTAGTGCAAATATTTCCACACATGGAATCATAATCCATATTGATTAAATCAAAATAATTGGAAAATTTTGTTTCTTTTTCTTTTTTTAGTCATTTACATATTAAATCAATTGATACTATAAATTTCAAATTTCCATAATTTTCCTTCTGGGTATTAGAGTTGCAATGTTGAACAGTCCTACATCTTATTTCATTGTGCTTTTGGATTCTTTGAGTCCCCCCCCTCAGCTGTAATTAATTTTTGAAAATTAATGGAAATTTGGACCTTGTAGTGTTTATTCTCTTATGATCTTGCTATTTTAATGCATTAGTTGAAGTATAATACAAAGCATAATTTTTTAAATCTTTTAAGGTGTGTATTTTAAGGATAGTATTAAGACAATTGTATTTAAATGTTTATATAAATATTAATTAGGACACTGGGAAATTATTAAAGCATTAGAAGAGTTTGAAATAACTTTCTTTTAAACATATTAAGCTTTAAAAAAAAAGGGCTTTTTAAAAGGTAACAAAGAAGCCAAGAGACACAAAGACTTTGTCATCATAAAATCCTACTTGAAAGTTTTGCAACATGTTACTGTTGGTGAAATTATATTTCTTAAATTTTACCATCTGTTACAAAGGAATATGACATATGATCTAAATTTGAAAGAAATAAAAAATTAACGACAAGTATTATTGTAATGTACTGCACATTTTAGCACTGCATTTTGCTAATTCTTACTGTTAATTTCTAATGTCTGTAGCACTAAAATTACCCACTGTAAGGATCACATATTTTCTCTCTTTATATGATGTGTATGAAAAGCAACACATATTTTAATATAAAAGGGAAGCAGTTTTTCATGCCTTTTTCTAGAAGTTCATTTTTTAAAAAATAATCATCGAATCGTATATTTTGTTCAACTTTGAAGTTAACCCTTTTCTTATTATTAGTCCAAAGGGGCTTTGTCCCTGAAGGACTATTGTTTTCGTTTTGCGATTTTGCGTCGGACTCATAAACGTGGGTTCACTTTTCAAACTGTTGCCACAAAATGTTAGAGTCCTGCATTATATTTGAAGAAATTAAATAATGAAAAATCTGCATAAATGATTGTCTATTTCTCGCATTGTCCCCCCCCCTTTAAACAATGGTACATAGAGCCATCGAATTTTGAATGACGAAATCCTACTGCGAATATGAGCATCTGAAATCCCAAATTTGGAATTTGTTTTATTATAGATTTTATATTTTGTAAAACTTTAACGAATTTTTGATTTACAAACTCAATGCTTTAAAGGCGAGAAATGGCAACGTTATATAGAAAAAAAATACTTTTATCTCCAGCTCGCGAGACTGTGTATATCGGAAATTCTAAAGATATGCTTAATTTAACATTATTTTGCGATATTGCTTTTGAACTTAATTTTATGGTTTAAGTGCAAAGAACATGATATTTAATAAATAAAGGTAACACTCAAAATGTTAAAAAAACGCCCCTTTGGACGTAATTTAAAATCTGAAACATTTCAGATTTTTTTATTTTTTATTAAAGTACAAGATTTAGCATTTTTAATGTTTTTAAGTCTGCATCTTTGTTTCATTTGTATGCATATAAAAGTGGCAGGTAACAAAATTAATATTTATTTAAAGTAAGATTGCTACTCTTATTTCATATATTTAATTGCCCATGATAAAGAAGTCTAATGTTATAATTTTTAAAGGCATAAACATACTGCAGGTGATAAACAATAAGAAATATGAACTATTAAAATTTTCTTAATTAACAAATTTCAAATCTGTTATTCAGAAATTATATGCAACTTTGCTATATATAAGATGTACTAATTGAATGGCTGAATTTGCTAAGTGAACCAAAATTTACTTTATTGGATTTTGTTACATGAAAATAGTTAGATACTAGAGTGAAGCATCTGTCATGTGATAGAAAGTTGGTTATAGTAGGGAGAATTTAAAGATATTAAATTCTGTGAACTGTAAAGAGGTTTTATGTCTGTAAATTAGCAGAGGTAAAATAAAAAAATTTCAGATTTGACACACAATAAAGTATTTCAAAGAAATTCTTTTATACATTGACAAAATCCACTCTATTTATTTGTCAATATTAACTAAAGAATTAAATGAATGTTTCACAGCTAATTTAAATTGATTTTCTTGAAAAACCAACCAGGGCAAATAAAAATTAATGCAGTAATCTGGCAATAAACAGGCATTTGTACTTAATTAGTTGCAAAGGATGAATGCAATTTGTAAATAATGAACACATTCATCTCCAAGACTGAAAGCAGAAAACTGCATTTAATCCATCAAACTTAAATTCTTATAAAACTGACAAATCACTTTGAATTTTATTCAAAATGGTGTTCTTCACTTTTCTTCAAAGTGTATATATAGTATAGATAAATACATGCAATTTATGTGCCTTTCTGTAAAAGGTGTTAAGGGGGAAATGCCATTTTTTACATTCAGTTAAAAAAAAAAAAAAATTATAGCAAAATTATTTTATCTAAGTTTAAAATAATAAAGATTTCTCTCATTATGTTAATCAATATAGACAGTGCTACTTATCCCCATGTTATGTTAAATTAAGGAAAGCCAAAATTGTAGAATTTGTACAAGTATGATATCTGTTCAATATCTTTATTCAGTCATATAGGATATAAATATTGTTAAATATATTATGAGTAGAATCAATTGCATAGCATATTAATACTAAAATCCCCCTTTGAAATCCATTTTGTTAAAATAGTTTTGCAAATCTGTTGTTATTGTCATGCTTATAATAGTACCAAGCTTTTTTCCAAGACTTCAGTCTCTGTCTGTATTGAAATCACTGGTGCCAGATGTATGATCTTATTTCTTGTTGATGAGAAATGTTTTGTAACATAGTAGTATACCTTTATATTGATAATTTTTCTGTCATAATTTAACATAAAGCTCATTGTGTAAAAACAATTATTACAAGCTGTAGAACAGTGATTCTCAGCCTGTTTTACTCCATGCACCCTTTCATCATTGCTTGAAGATAAATCTAAATAGAAGTATATACACATTTTTTGCGTTTTGGAGAAAGGAAACTTCTCCAAAACTCAAAAAGTGTGTACATACTTCTATTTAGATTATTTTTTAATGTATCTTACAATTTAAACAAAAAAAAAACATGTTGATAAATATCAAAACTTACATAAAAGTAGGGTTCTTTTTTTTTTAAAACATTCATAAACTAAAACTAGATACTTAACAGCTAAATAAAAGGCTTATAACATTTTCCCCATGATTGATAACCATTGCTGTAGAAGATTTGATCATTTCTATCATTTTTTATAAACATTGCTATTCAAAATTGAGATATTTATGACAAATTTATAATCATCATTATGAAGATGCTCTTAAACTCATGCACAGACTTTCACTTTCAATGGAAAATTGCTAATTTGTACAAGGTTGCTTATATAATTCAATGGCTATCAGCACGTAAGGAAGGGAGAAAATTATGCTTGAAAATGTAAAATATCTATAATTCAAAAGATTAAACCATTTGAAGGATTGTAAATAATTAAACGAAAAGAAAAGCATTCTAGTGCCCCTGCTGTTTTTCTGCCACTAAACCTTACTGTAGTTGTTACATTATAAATTAGTAACATTTCTTTAAAAAATTATTTCAGTACTTAAAATATGTGTTCACTTGTTTTATTGTACATGGAAATCAATTTTTTATTAATAATATAATAAATTAATTATTGCTGTAGAACAATGATTCTCAGCCTGTTTTACTCCATGCACCCTTTCATCATTGCTCGAAGATAAATCTAAATAGAAGTATATACACATTTTTTGAGTTAATGTATCTCTCAAAATTGGAAGATTACTTGTATGTTTCGTTGCAAGATATCATTATTTATTTATTTATTTTGAATTTCAGTATTAGACTGTAATAGATAAAATTGTTTAGATCTCCAGTTAGCATTATTTTGCATGTATACCAAGATATAATAAATCTGTTCATATTTGGGAAACAAAAAATTGACTGTTTCAATAAATTTATATGCAGTTTTTATGATGGATGTGTAGAACACAAATATCCTTTAAAAGGTTTTATATTTTACTGGAGTTAATTAAGATTATGTATGGTGTTTATTTTAATAGCAATGACAAATCTCATCCCCCCCCCGGTATTTTAATTGCAAAAACAGGCAATAAGGGAGAAATATTTTCTATGTTTCTGTTTCATGTACTTAAACCAATTTAATGCTGTTGATTAAAAGGAATGAATGTATTTCATATTTCACTTATGATACAATTTTAATTACTTTCTCTTGGCATAAAAATATTTAAACATTTTACTAATAGGATTGTTAAGTTTTTCTAGAAAAAAAAAAAAATTAAACTTTTTACTGGAAGAAGATGTATTTTCATTTCCAATTAGTAGACAGTAAAACACTTTTATAAATTTTGTTTAAAATGTAATGGATTCTTGATGTACAAGCTAAACTATTCTTTATGTAAAATAATATATTGCAGTATTTTTAGTCTGAAGATCTTTATTTATATTAATACTTTTATGTAGATATGTAATAAATTTTTTTGAAATAATTTTTATTTATTTTTAACAGGTTATCTGATGGCCATTGTAGAAGTGATTGCTCTTACCTAAAACATGCATTGCTCATAGGTTCCTGCTAAGAATATATAACTTCAACTTCATAAACTAAACCACTATTTTCATTTTAATTTGAGTAAGAGAAATAATTACTGCTCTTTTGAGAATCATGGCATCAGGTATAAATTTAGATATTTTTAAAATATGGGGTGATAAAGAGAGGTCTGAATTTGTTGCAGTCTGTCAAAGTGCTCTTCAGAAATTACAAAATTCAAGTTTAGTATTTGGCACTGAGAACAGTGACTTAAATTATATTTTGTATGAAATGTGCAGTCAGTGTATGCTGGGTAGCATACCAGCTGAATCTGTAGTCTCTGCTCTGAGTGAAATACTTCATCTTCATAATGAGATACCTTCATTAATTGCAGATATCCTAGTTGTTTTAGATACTGAGTCCCAAAGTAGTGAATCACATGGATTGCGAGAACGCTATTTCAACCTTCTTCGTTACTGCAACAATAAAATTGTTCCTGAATTCATACTTAAGGAACGTTTAGAATTTGATACATTGGGTGATGCAGGTATCATGAAGTTACTGAGAAACACCCAGACAAAATTTATTAAAACAAAAACTAGACTATTTTACAAGCAACAGAAATTCAATTTGTATCGTGAAGAAATGGAAGGTTATGCAAAACTTATGACAGAATTGGCTCCACAGACTGGGGAAGAACCAAATGTTGAATATACATTGGAAGTTATGCAGTCACTAATTGGTTGTTTTAATTTAGATCCAAACAGAGTTTTGGATGTCATATTGGAATCATTTGAGTATAAAACTAACCTTTCTTATTTTTTTACTCAATTGTTGCATTCTTATTTTAGTACATCAGAGACTACAAGTCAAGTAATTGGGTTCAAGTTTAGTTTTTATCAACAAGGTGATTCAAAAGAAACACCTTCATCATTGTATCGGATAACAGCTTTTCTTTTGAAATCTGGTGTTATGTCTCTTGGACAGTTGTATGGATTACTCAGGCCTGATGACAGTAAAATACTAGAAGAACATAAGCAAGAGCTTACAAATGCCCAGCTTTATGTTAAGCAGTTAAATTCCTTGTCAACAAATCCTGCTGAACCTGTCAAAGATTCTGTTAAAAATGAAGGTAATAGGCTTGAAAATGAAGATAATCAGAAATTGGGTCTATGTGCTGCATTATTAGATGTTGCAGATTGGAAACATGCTCAGCAACTTATGAGTTATTTTCCTGAATTTTATGCTACATCACATTTGTTTATAGCTAAAAAGTTATGCATGTTGATACATGTACTTATAGATGATTTTTATAAGAAGCATAATTTGTATCCTCAAATTAGGCAGGGAAAGAAATTTGAACTAGAATCTGGAGTTAAAGTAAAACCAATTGAAAGTTTTGCTGAATTATTTGATACAGTATTCAGTATGGTGCTTTCTCTGGGCCCCTATTTACACATTGATCCAGTTCTCATGGCAAAGATAATTCGTCTCTCAAGGTACTGGATTTGTTCAAAATCTAGTGTTCCTGATTATGGAATGGCAGCAATTTCAAATGTGATTGATCAGTCTCTTTTGCCATCATTATCATTACTGGAATGCAATTGTTGTATGGCTGAAGAACTTTGGAGTTTATTAAAACTTTTTTCATATCAAGCCAGGTACATGTTTTATTTCCAGTGGAAGACTACTGCAAATGTTTCTCACCCTCCTTTGATTAAAGTGAAGGCTGATACATTAAAAAGACTGAAATATATTATGAAACGATTAAACAAAGATAATGTTAAGCCATCTGGAAGGCAAATTGGAAAATTAAGTCACAGCAATCCAGGTTACATATTTGATTATATTTTATCCCAGATTCAGACATGGGATAATTTAATAATGCCTGTTATTGATTCTTTAAAGTACTTAACATCATTGTCTTATGATGTTTTGGCTTTCTGTGTTATTGAAGCCTTGGGAAATTCTGAGAAAGACCGCATGAAGCATGATGGAACAAGCATATCCATTTGGTTACAAAGTCTGGCAAATTTTGGAGGTGCTGTGTTTAAAAAGTATCCCATAGATATTTCTGGCCTTCTGCAACATGTTGCTAATCAGTTAATAGCTGGTAAAAGTCTTGATTTACTTATTTTAAAAGAAGTTGTTCAGAAAATGGCTGGAATTGAGGCTTCAGAAGAAATGACTGCTGAACAGTTGGAGGCAATGACTGGTGGAGAATTGTTGAGATCAGAAGGAGGCTATTTTAACCAACTGAGAAATGTTAAGAAGTCATCACAACGTTTAAAAGAAGCTCTGTTAGATCAAGACCTTGCAATTCCGCTATGCCTGCTCATGGCTCAACAAAGACAATGTATTTTATTTCATGAACAAGAGAATAGCCACATAAAACTTGTAGGGAAGTTATATGACCAATGCCAAGATACACTTGTGCAGTATGGTAGTTTTCTAGCTTATAGTTTAAATATGGAAGATTATGCAAATAGATTACCACCTGTTTCTGTTTTGTTGAATGAATATTCTATTCAACCAGATGTTGCTTTTTATCTTTCTAGACCATCCTTAAATCATGCCATAAGTTGCAAGTTTGAAGAACTCAAAAAACAAGACAAAGCACTGAAAAACATAAGTAGCTCCCAAAGTGTGAAGAAGTATATAGAGGTTGTAGATTCTGTCATTATGCCAATTGTTCAGTCTGTAAAGTCCAATCAAGCCCACAAAAAAACATGGGAGGATTTGAATCCACAGTTTTATGTAACATTCTGGTCTCTGAGTATGTATGACCTTGTAGTTCCTTCTGGAAGTTACGAGCGTGAAGTAAATAAATTGAAAGTTATTCTGCAAAGTGAAGAAAATAAAGATGCTGGTAAAAAGAAGAAGGAAAGGGAAAGATGTGATAATTTGATTATGAAACTTGTAGAAGAAGAGAAAATGCAACAAGAACATTGTGTCCGTGTTATGGCTCGGTTAAAGAGTGAGAAAGATGACTGGTTTCAGTCTAAGGCAGCAAAAAATGAAACCATTACTCACAGTTTTTGCAGCTGTGTTTATTTCCCCGTTGTATATTTACACCAGTTGATGCTGTATATTGTGCTAAATTTGTCCATCTCATTCATTGCTTAAAGACACCCAATTTCTCTACTCTACTCTGCTATGATCGTGTTTTCTGTGATATAACTAACACAGTTGCATCTTGTACAGAAAATGAAGCAAATAGGTATGGATTATTGTTGTGCTCTATGTTGGAGACTGTAATGAGATGGCATAGTGACAAAGCTATATTTGATAAAGAATGTGCAAATTTTCCTGGGTTCATGACAAAGTTTAAAGTTGCTGCCCAGACTGGTGATTCATCTGTTGATCATGTTGATTATGAAAATTATCGCCATGTATGCCATAAATGGCATTTTAAAATAACGAAAGCTCTTTTGAAGTGCTTAGATTCTGGAGATTATGTTCAGATTCGTAACAGCCTTTTGGTTTTGCGAAAAATTGCACCATATTTTCCTGTTATTGTTAGTCTTGGCTTAGCATTAGAACGACGTATAGAAAAAATTAAAGCTGAGGAAAAGGATAAGCGACCTGACATTTTTGCATTAGCTACTGTCTATTCTGGAATTCTGAAAGTCAAGAAACCTTCTTTAATCCAAGAGAGTGAATTTCATTTAAAGGAAACTAGTCGAGCAAATGTTAATACTGTCCCTATTAAACCTGAAGCAATATCTAGAATTGAGAAGAGGGAAAGTGAAAATGTGCCTGAATCTGTGAAAGAAAAAGTGTCTAAAACAGATTCAAAAGCTGACTCAAATCGACTAAAAGCAGGCTCTGTAGAAAAATCAAATTCTATTCCATCAAATTCACAGAATTCTGGAAAAAGAAGTGCACGGAATGACACAGAATTAAATGGCATTGAAAGCCGAAGCAAAATTGCGCGAGTGAAAGAAGAAAAGATTAACCTTGAGAACACAAGTCCAATGAGACGGGAAGATAAATCTAATCTGAAAAATGATATTGACAAAATTCCTAACTCTAAAGATGATAAACGAGATCGTAGGGAGGAGAGGCATGAGAAATCTTTAATTAGCGAGAGAGAGAGTGTAGAATCTAGTAGAGATTCTCACTCTCATCGTCATAATTTAGAAGTGGTAGAGATGGAAAGAGAGCATAAAAGAAGACGAGTTGAAGGAACTTCTTCTAGAAGCCCACGTGAGCCAGTAGAAAGAGACTCTCGTAGTGTGGATAAATCAAAAGCAGATGAAAGAAATGGAGGACGAGAGAAAATATCTGTTGAGGTTAAAAGTCACAAAGAAGTGGAAGCTCCTCTAGAAAAAATTAAAATTAAAGAAAAGAAAACAAATAGGAAAAGGGAATACCCTGATGATGGTTCCTCTGAACTTCCAAGACGGAGAAGACCAAAATCAGAGAAAGATGATGAGGATTCTGGGAAGCGTAATATGGAAAATGATCGTGAACTTAAATCACGGAGAGAAGACAAATCACCTGTTGTGTATACTGGCAGTACCGACAGACGTATTGATCGTGAGGAGAAAAAGCATCATCGCTCTAGTTCAGTATCTGGAGTGAAGAAACGATAGTGAAAACTCCATTCCAGCCATTATTATTGTCCAGAATTACTTGATAGACTTTGCACTGCAAAATATCTTGTTGCCTGTTGCATTTTGTATTTTATGAATTTCATATTGCATATTGAGTATTAAACAAGTGTCATGTGCAAAGAGTACTTGTGTGAGATGTTTATACTACCTATTTTTCATGAGATTAAAACAAGGTGCTCATAAATGCGTATTTTTCTAAAGAATTAGAAATTTATGAACTGCATCCATCATTTGTTTACAATTTAAATTTTAATTTCATTGAAATGAAGTTACTCCAACATTTTTAAAAGGATATTTATTTAAATATTCAAAAGATCATAGATCAGGTTTTAACTAATGTTTCATTTAATAGTGTTTTTGGTGTTCTATATTTAAAACAATTGAATGTTTAATTTATTATTTTTCAAAGTGATGATGTAAAGCTAATATTACATAAATTCAGCAAAGGAAGTATACATACTTATGCATCAGTAAATATTCCTTATATATTGTTATGTTATGATGAAATGAATTTGAACTCATTTTATCAAAGGTTTAGTACAGTAAATGTTCTTTCATATTTCATAGCATGTAAAATCGTTTGTAAGTTTTAAAAATTGCAGTTTTGTATTATTATTTGTTACAAAAAAAATGTTATATTTGACAATACAAGTAGTGCATTTCCTTGATAATTGTGAAATATTTGAAAACATTTTTTAAATTTTGAATAAAATCAGATATTCTTGATTTTAACTCTTTTTTTTCTTGTAAATATGTGCAATTAAAAAAATGTTGTAATCTTTAGTACTTAAGACATCTATTTTCATTTAAAAAAAATATTTCTGGCATTTATTTAGTGCCCATTTTACTGGTATGTTGGCATTAAATCTTTTGATTATGTATTTAAAGTTATTTATGTAAGCATTTGTTATTCTTTCTTCATATAATGTGTAGTTATTAAGTATATTGATCTATAGTGAGTAGGTGACAGATTTCACATCTTGTATTTTATTTGAATTATTAAATAGTTATTTTAGCTCAATAAAATCAGTGTATTTCAAACTGTAAAGCTTGGTTTCAATAAAGTACACTTCATTTTAATCTAATAAAATAATATGATAACTGTTCATTTCGGTCATATTTTAGAATGAAATGTTCCTATGCATTGAATTCTAAATTAAGTAATATATAGTCATGCAGAAATTATGAGCTGTGTATGCTTTTGCATTTTTCATGCTTGGCATTGACAGTATTATTTCACAAGTCCTTTTTGCGTGGTTTCCTGAAGCAATAAATTGACATACCTGAATATTATCTAGTTTTTATTTTAAGTGTTTCTTAAAATGCTTCTGTTATCGTTTATGGAAGACAGTTGAAGAATCTACTGAAGGTTTCTATTTGCACAAGGCAGTTTTATGCGCAGTATTGTGACACTGAAGCTTTGTTTTGCCTATATTTGTAAATGTAAATTTAGGTAATGATTACTGATTAAGTTTGTGCTAAATAAATATTTGGCCAAAATATAAAGTGTGAGATAAGTTAAATAATCCAATCACTAAGTTAAAAATTAATAAATAATAAGTTAAATAATCCAATCCATCCTTAGGATCAGTAAATATTTATTATTTCAATACTTGATGTTAGATATTCAATAATATCTTCCCCCCCCTGCTTTTTTGCTCTTTATTTTCCTATTTATATAAGGTACCTTCAAAATTCACCATTAAATATATTTGAGTAATGGTAAAATTGTCATTACTGAATTTTTTGTATCATTTACCAGAAACGTTAAATGTAATATTCTGTCCACCAGTTTCACAAATGATTCATGGTAGCTTTAACAGCCATTTTAGTTAAAACAAAGACTAAAAATAAAATTTTAAAAAATTAAATGCACTTTGTTGGTTTTTATTTGTGGCTATAATAAGAATGAAGCTAGTGAACTTTAGTGTACAGTAAATGAAAGTTACCTGCTAAAATTTTAAAAAATAATTTATTTCCATGTTAATTTTTTTTACATTCATTTATATGTAACTGCAAATAGTCCCTTCTAAAATCTGTATCTAGAATTTTATGAAATATATTTTAAGAATATGAGTTAAATTCAGAATTTTTAGTTAATTTATATGAAGTATTCCTTCTCCATTGAGCAAGGTTTATGATAATGCAAAAACATGTTAAGAAATGCATTTTGATGCAAAATACTTTTAAGTATTCAAACTTTAAAGTTAGTTCCTATAATTCAAATTTTTAAAACTGAGGTGCACCAAAAATTATTTTTGATTTTATATTCATTTAGTAGAGCATGCATTTAGGAAACAAGAATAATATAAGATCCAGTATTGTAATGTGCTGAACAAAAGTTTTGAAACATCTGAAATGTGTGTTTTTTCAACTGTGTTTTCCTTCAAAAACGTTGTAAATAATTTCATAGATAATTATTCATGATTAATGTCATTTATGTCTATTATGTTCATCAAATCGTTTAAGCAACATTATGAATTTTTGAAGCAGAGGGATACATCTGTAATTATAAATCTTTTATTTATCCTATTTTTTTTTTTTTTTTTTTTTTTTTTTTAACTTTCTGGAGTACTGGTTTTGAGGAGGGAATTTTTTTATATATACTGCATTTTACAACTGGTTGTGTATTATTATTTGCTGTCATTTTCACCAATTATTAACAGATTTTCCTTAAATATAATGGGTTGTAATTGGTAAAAGATAACTGTGGCATAATTTTATTTAAACTTGACTTTGAGGGGTATGTGCAAAACACGAATTTACAAATATTTTGCATCATCTACCTTGTTGTGCTGAATTTTTTAAAATTTTCTGTTCCTCCTCCTTTTTTTTTGTAAGTACTTTTTTGTAAGGTTTTTCATTTTTAACTGTGGCCTGCTAATTATTTTAAAGTTATAGTGAAATTATGAAAAGTATTTTGATGTCCTAATAATTGATTTTAAAATTAATGTAATAAATTTTATAGTAAATAATCATGTAATCATAATATTTTATAGTATTATAATCATGTCGTTTTAGCTCAAAACTCAGGATTTTGAAGTTTTATCTGTTAAGATAATTGTTTTCATTTAATAACTTGCTATAGTGCATAAAAGTGTTTTATTATGAAATAATATATAGTACTAAAATTTAAATGTGAGAATAAAAAATTGCATAAATTTTACATATAATTAATTTAGAATGTTGATTAAGTTAATGATATAATATACTAATTAAGTAAATTGAGCAAAAAGGTATATTTTCACATTAAACATTTAAGGAAAAAATTGCTCTTTTCTCTGTAAAAGTCTGCTGCATCTACCTAACCTAGTCTGGTTTTTCTAACTAGCTTTTTTTGAGGGGGGGACTTTGTTTAGAAAGCATAATAATATTAATATATAACTTATTATTAATTATGCTAAAAGCCATGCTAACTAGTTGTACATAAAGTATTTCCTGATATACAGCTAATAATAAAATACTGTTTTCTCACTGGTTTTATTTGGAAGTTACCTTTTGTTTTTCCTCTTTGTATTAGCTGGCCGTTAGGTATTTGTGAACCATTAGTGCCAATAAGTATGTCCTAAAAATAGCTTTGTTTTAGGTATGTAATAAAGTATGTTATTTATGCTATTTGATTTTCTTTAATTTTATATTTAAATTTTATTAGTGTAAATAATTTTGCAGTTTTAAAACTCATAATCCTGGTTCATTTAAAAAATATAACTCAACATGAGAAGTATTTTAAATTAAAAATATGTGTACGTTTTATGCTGAAGTGAATCATTAAAAATTATTCTTTATTAAGAAATTAGTTTCTGTAAGAAATGTATGCGGCACTCAATATTTCTTAAAAGTATGAATTGAATTTTGTTTCTTGCGTTACTTGACAACTGGTGTTAATGAAGCTCTTGCAATTAATGTTAAAATTCTGTGTAATTGTTCTTCCCACACCCCAGTAAGATAGTTTTTTATCTTTTTTTTTTTAAACCATGCATCTTATGTAAGGGTGTGAGATACTTTTTTTTTTTTTTTTTACATCCATATTATGTAATTTTCTGAGATTTAGCTTTGCAGGTGCACAGTAGTAACGACTTGTTAAAATACTATGAAATTAGTTTTTTGAAACGATTTCCATTGACAATTCCACCTTTGAGAAAGTTTTCTTCAAATGGGAAACTGAGCTGTAGATGGATGGATGCTCTTTATGAAAGTTCTGTCTTTCTGAAACTAGGCCAATGCGTATAAAAATGCTAGTAGGGTTTTAGTTTATTACTCTGATTCGTAAAACAAAGGAAAATTCTACTTGCATACTGGTACTCTCAAGAGGATGATACCTACCTGCACCTTTATGAAGGTGCCTTCCCCTATGAATAAGAAGTTGATCCACATTAATATCTCCTCTCTTATTCACCAATTATTTGTTTAAAGCTTTTTAAATCTGAAAGAAATTTCTAAGCAGTGATTTTAATACCTCTTTAGATAAGCAGGTTTCACAAGTTAAAAATGTCTAAATAACGTTCAATAAGCATTTTTTGAATTGAAAGGAGATGTTTTTTTTTTTTTTTTTTTTTTTTTTTTTTTTTTTGTATAATTATTATTTATTTCAAGTGTACAATATTAATAAGAGTTTCACTGGGTTTTTTTATATTATTTTGAACAAATGTAATTTTTTTACAAAGTAAAAAAATATGTATGTAATGTGTCTAAAAAATGTACATAGTCGCATAACACAGTTTAGGCTGTCTTCAAATCAGCTATAAAGAACAGTACTTTGTAGCATTACATAACTGTAGAAAAGGTACTGAAATGTACAAGTTATGTCAGTCGGAATGTTTTGCTCGGATTTGACTTCTTTGAAGGAAGAAATTTTTCTGTTCTTTTTATATAAAAACATTTGTTTCTATATATTCATTTTGGCTGTATTTTATTAATGAATGACATTGTGATGTAACTCTTAAATTGCTTTAAATGTGTATAAGAATGCTTAATAGAGTTTGTTTCATTCAGTGTTTGAAATACATAAAACTTCATAAAAAGTCTCCCCTCCTATAAATGCCTTCTCCCATACTATGTTAAAATTATGTCATTTACTATAGTTGTTGTCTTTGACTATTACTGTGATAAACAGTAGACCAAAATTCAGATTATGAAATGTTATATTTAATTTAAAATTAAATGCTCTGTTACTTTAAGACATATGTTAAATGCACTTTATTGTTTGGATTCAGTATGAATTATTAATGTAACAATATATGCATGCATATCTTCATGATTTAAGAAATCTGCATTTTCTTAAAAACTGCTATCATGTTACTTGTTTTATTGTATTTTAAGCGTATATCTTATTTTTCATATGATGTTCATATAAAATTAAGGCATGGATTATAATGGTAAAGTTCCATTTTTAAGTGTTTTTGCAAAGATCTTTAAAAACTTTCTTGATGGTAGGGAGGGAGATCTTTATCATCTAAAGTTTTGCTGAAATTGATTTCTCTTAGTAAAATAAGCATTATAATTTTTCTCCTTAGCAAGTATTTGTATTTCTTTGTTAGGTACAGTCAAAACTCTTTAATCCGGACTCGCCGGGACTTTGGCGATTCCGGATTATAGATCATCAGTTTAAATCTGGTAAAATGGCATGCAGAAATTATAAAATTTAAAATATGAAACCGTAATTTATAAAATAATGAGCAATTATGATCTAAAGGGTATAAAATTTACAAAAAAAGAAGCTTAATATT